TTCGTATGGTGTCGTGTCGGAAACTCTCTCAGAAGGGGGGGAAGGGAAAGAAAATAATTCTTGACGGATGAATGAATTCAAAAGATATTTCGATAACGATAATATTAGATAAAGGATATAATAAAGAATGTGGGGAAAAACCAATATATAGTTGGAACGTATTAGATTAATCTCTCTCTCTCTCTCTCTCTCTTTCTTTCTTTCTCTCTGGCATACCTTCCGATAAATACTTTTAATATCTTCATTTAATCGTCGATTATGATATCATTTTTCCAATTTTTTACCTGCTACTGCTGCTACTTAGAAAGAAGAAGAAGAATTTAAAAAAAGTAGAAACTATGGGGAGGAAAAAAAAGTCAAAAAAAATAAAAATAATATAAATGAGAACCAACAACGCCAACGTGATACGCGATTAACATCCTATTAGTTTCGAGTACCGGTGATACTCAATGGCCCATAAATTTCTCTTCTCTACCAAACACATATACACATACACGTACAAATACAAACACACACGTACACGCACGCGTGCTATTTCTCCCCCTCTCCTTTCCTCTCTTCCCTCCCTCCCACTCTCTCTCTCTCTCACTCTCTCTCTCTCTCTCTCTCTCTCTTGACGGTTTCCGAAATTGCAGATTTATGCGCTGCTCGTTATTGAATCGAGTTTGCCTTATGGCACGAAATTAGGCCCGTTTAGAATTCCGGTCGACAATGCGGGAAACCTCGTGGATCGGCTTTATGCATCGATAACGCCTTCAATGGGGTGGAGGGAAGAGGGTGGGAGGGAGGGAGGGAGGTATGGGAAGTTACAAATAAAAGCCAATGTATCTCGTGCAAACGACCATTTGTGTTTTAAACCTTTTTCAAATGTATTCACTATTCTTTTACTCTACTCTACTCTATTCTACTCTACTCTTTCTCTCTATCTCTCTCTTTTTGTGCATATTTTTTGTATGCTTCATTTTTTGGTTATTTTATTTTATTTTCCTTTTTTTGGTATTGTGGGGTTACTTTTTTACGTTTTATCTTTAAAATTTATATTTCATTTCTTCCTCGCGTAACCGTTATCTCTTTTGATTACTCTCTTTTACTTTTTTTTTTTTATTCATTTTTTTCTTTTTTGTATTTTTACACGTCGCCGATGTAGCGTGTTCGCTTTAATAAAAAAAAAAAAAAAAAAAAGAACACGATTAAAACGGGAAAGCCGTCTCTACCATTTTACGCGTCACGCGTGTACAACCAACCGACCACATCTA